GGAATGTGGCAACCAATTAGTATCATGTGTCAAATAATGACACTTTTGTCATTGATAAACTTTTCATAAAGGGTGTTTCCATATCCTTTAAGATGATAGTGAAGCTGAAAAATCCCTGTTGTCTAGTGTTACTGTAGCTATCATGATACCATAGCACAGTATGTTATTCATGGGTTAGTGTGATGCTAGTGTACATGAGTCTAATTCACTACCACCATGTAAAATCAAGTTCATACCCTTACAACCAGTACATACTACTGGACATTGAAATTAATGAACATGCTACTGGTGTATAGGCTTTCTAAACTAGGCTTAGCACTACTTGAACATATACTCCTTCTATTTATACAAAAATATTTTAAGGTAATACAACAGGCTAAAATATATCAGCAGCATCTCCAGTCTCCTCCTGAATGTCATATTGCTCTGCTAAATCAATATGCCACATCGGGCAACTAGCATATACAACTGGTTTGTGTAATGCTATGCTGTTCAAACAATGAAAGAATCCCCTAATGTGTTTCTCAGAACACACTCATGTCATTAAATGACATATTGATATAAGAACATTAATAAAATGTAAAGCCTCCATCAATACTAAAAACTAATAAATAAATGGTATGTGAAGAAGATGATGTAAAATGATATACAATATATAGTTTTGAAATATTCCTATGCAAATTATTTTTACAAAAAGAAGTTGTTTTAAAATTGAGAAACTATGACTATCATGTGGACTAAGTGATCAATGATAATACTGCTGCTTTGTTCATTTATTTTGTTGTTGTGTTTTTAGAACACTGGAGACTGAACAATTGATTAAAAGCGAGAGAAGGGAGAGAGGAAGAGAGAGAGAAAAAAAAAACTTGTTTGGGCTTATGGCCTGGAAGCAGGAAAATCCTATATCAGCTGGCTGTACTTTGTGATGATTACATGTTGCTTTAGACATGATGAAAAAGCCAGAAGGTGGACTGAGCATGTTGAAAGAAAAATACACAGGCTGAACTCCCCTGAGAAAGGACCTAATCTATTAAGGGTTCCATCTTCATGATTCAAACATCTGTTGCTAGGTTTTATCTGCTTCCTTCAGCTTGTGAAGGAACTGAGGCTCCAATACCTGGACTTCTGGAGGAAACACTAAAACCACAGAAATCTGTAATCAGATGATTTTGATCCGTGAAGGATACACCGTTATTGTTCAGCTACTTGCCAAGAGCGTTAATAATAACAGCATTAGTATAATCAGGAGCACACTTCAGACAAACAGAGGCTAAACGGCCCTGTGTGATGTGCTTATACTCTTCAGCAGATCAAGGTGAAGAGTAAAGGCTGAATTCTCATGATAATTACATGCAGTTTACAACCTCATACTGGACAATGAGCCCAGAATACTACTATACAAAGATATTATGTGGCAATTTGGATAAATAATTTGACCATTTTATATCTCATTTCTACACATTGTAAAATATGGGTAAATTTATTAATCTCCATAAGTTACCAGGGCATGGAATCGTTGTATGAATGTATAAAGTATGTATCATACGTGTGGGCATAGTAAATGTATCATGTGTGCTCATTGATAGTTTCCTTATTTGCTGTATTCCTGTTCTTCCACTCCGTGATTTATTCTTACTTTCTTGATCTTATTAGATTTACATTTTCTACTTAGTTAACACTTTGGTATCATATCTGCTTCTGCCCTTCAATTCCCTCCACTTCCTATGGACAGTGTCTGTGTACCTTTTGTAATTATTTTATAATATATTCCTTTTGATTATATAGAGTTTTGTCAAGAATGAAGCGCAGCCAGTAAACATCTTGCCCTGTAAGCAAGAAGACATGAATGAGTTCAGTCCCCAGGAAACACATAAAAAGCTGGGAAGGGCAGCTCGCATCTTTAATCTAGCACTTGGGAAGCAGAAGTAACAGGACTCTTAGATGTTGCTGGCCGGGCAATCTAGGTGAATCAGTGAGCTCCAGTGAGAGTACCAATGAAAGCTCCTGTCCCGTAATGGAAGGTGGACAGCCTGAGAAGCAATAGCCAAGACTGACCTCCAGTATTCTCAGCCATACAAGCACTCTAAATAAATAAATAATGATTAATAAATAATAAATTAATAAATTCCATGCTGTGCTAGCAGCAGCCTTAAACAGGTCATGTTACCGCATCTACTGATTGCATCAGCAGGACAGGCTGGGTGACTAAACCACATCATCTAGGTTTGGGCAAGCACACTCTATGAAGACGTTATCTAATGTTGTGTATCTCAGAACTGTACTCATTACAAAGCAATGCACAACTTCATGAGCTCTCAGATTCGAACACTTCAATACTCGGTATTACACCATAGATCTACCACAACCAAGCAAGAAAGTTGAAGTCACAGATGTTGCTACCAAATGGAATGTCTTTGGAGTATGAATCTGTTGAAATTAAGGTTTCATTTGGCTTCAGACCCTTCTACTCCCTGCCCCTTTACTTCATCCTCAGTTTCATGGTTTGCACCATGAGTATGAATACAGGGTCATGGTCTAACCCCCAGTGCCCTCAGGCCTGGGCTGGAAACTGAAAAAGACAAAATAGACAGCGTATTAGCTAGTGTGACTACAGACCAACAATCCATATTGCATCTTGACTATTATTTACTGATGCTCACTTTAAGTGTCCGGTTGAATAGAGAAAAGGAAATATATAGGAATCTATCTTGTGAGATAGTAATACAGAGTTTACAATTCTACATATATCATGGATAATTTAAAAAAAAAAACTCGCAGAACCCATGAGTGACCCACCTACCACCAGAACTGTACCCCTCTCTGGATTCTGTTCCTCAGATCCCTTCCCCAGGCCTATGCTTCTCCAGCTTGTTCATGGCCCTGCTGCTGTGTCCTGGGTTCTGCCCCAGCCCCACTGGATTTCTACCACTCAGGTGGAACTACCCACAACCAGCCCAAGCTGCACCAGCTTGAATAGACTTCAGCTGCTCAGGTGCAGGCTACACCAGTTAGAAGAATTGGTCAGATAAAACCAGCCAGATAAAAGTCTTAGAGAGGTCAGCTATGTAAGGGACACACCTAAACATCAAGGCAATATATAATGTGCCCATAGCTAACATCAAACTAAATGGAGAGAAACAAAGCAAATCCACTAAAATCAAGGACAAGACAAGTCTGTCCACTTACTCCAAATCTGTTCAATATAGTATTTGAGATTTTAGCTAGAGCAATTAAGATAAGGAGATAAAGGGGCTACAAACTAGAAAGAAAGAAATCAAAGTATCACAATTTGCAGATATGATAGTTTTTTTTTACCTAAGCTGTAGACAGAGGCTGTTCATTCATTTCCTGGCTGCCCAGACCCGAAATAATCACACAAAAAACTGTATTAATTAAAAACACTGCTCAGCCTATTAGCTCAAGATTCTTGTTAGTTAACTCTTACATCTTAAATTATTGCATTTTTTATTTATGTTTATATTCGCATGTGACTGTGGCCTACCAGTAAGGTTCTGTCTGGCATCTGTCTCCTTTGGTGGCATCTTATTGAGTAACTCTCACATCTTAAATCAACCCATTTCTATTAATCTGTGTAGCTGTTGCCTACTGGTAATGTTCCAGTGTGTCCTTCTCCTTCAGCAGCCACATAGCATCTTCCTATCTCCACCTACTCTCTCTATGTATCCTTCCATCCTATCTATATTTTGCCCTGCCCTTGGCCAAAGTAGTTTGATTTATTAACCAATAAAAGAAACACATATACAGAAAGATATCCCACATTATCTCCCCTTTTCTATCTATTTAAAAAAGCTTTTAATTTTAACATAATACCATTACATATACAAAACAGTTATCAAGCAAGAATTATAGTTACAATATTTAGTCCATTTATATTTGATAAATTAAGGAAAATACTCTATCATCTGTCCTATCTTTCTGAGTCTAAAGTTTTATATCTACTTTATCTTTTATCATAATTTAGGAAAACTATATCTATCTGTATCCAACACCTCAAAGAACCCAGAAGGATATAATATAACATTACCTAAGTAAACAAGAAGTGCAATCAAGCAACTTCCAAAATCCGAGAATTGACAGAGACATCTCACTGCTTGGACAGTCACCCAAAGTTTGCCTTGTACTGGCAAAGTTCATCAGTTTCTGTCTTTTGTGTGCTGCAGAATGTCTGACAGTTTCTTCTGTGAAGCAGGAACCCTAAAGGAGCATCCTATCTTTTGGCAATTTCAACAGTAATTTTTCCATGGATCCTACATCTCAAGTTCATACAGCATGTCATCAAGCAGTCCAGACAAGAGCAGTTTCTTACCCAAATGGCTATCTTTATCAATTGAAAGCAAATTTCATGATGGGTTTCTTCAATGCCCATCATTGAGTTAATTGGTGCTGCCAAAAGTAGACATATCTCACTGTCAAGGAAAGACTAAGTTCTTAAAACACCTTAAATGCCATATTCTGTAGGTCTTTGGAAGATTTAAAGAATACCTATCCATCTTATATATATCTCTGTACATCTAGAAAACCTAACATGACTAAAAGTTTGATTATTATAGATGACTATTAATCTGTATTTCTAAATTATATATTATATTTTAAATGAGATGCACAAACACATAATATCTTAAACAAGAGTAGAAATATATATATATATACAAGTGTAACAAAATTGACCTTAAATTTTTATCAATAAACCAAGATCCATATCAATGCAAAGTATTCATTTCTATATCATATTTAATTAAAACAAACATTTATAAATAATCACTTGGTAATTTGGGCATATTTTTCTCCAAACTGTTTCTTGCTGTTGGTTGGGTAATGTATTTTAAGGGTTTGTGGAGACCTTTCATTGGGGGGGTCTTGTTCCCTCAAATGACCTTAGCCTTGAAGGAATCCACAAGTTTTTATCTTCTGTGGAACAAAAGCAGAAACTCCTTTCCAAAGCAACATATCATTAGACAAAAATATTGATGTTTACTCACTCTGCTACAGATGGTGCAGAAGATGTGGGTGACCAACTGATGGTTGACACAGCTGGAAACTTATGCTCTTAGAAGGATCTCCCTACTGAGAGTTAGGATCCAGAAACAGGATACGCCAGAAACCTAGGATAGAACCAAACATGAATGGAAAAAAAAAAAAAAAAAAAAAAAAAAAAAAAAAAAAAAAAANAAAAAAAAAAAAAAAAAAAAAAAAAAAAAAAAAAAAAAAAAAAAAAAGTCAATGAAATGATTTCTAATGATATTCTGCTATTCTAAAAGATTGATGCCTAGCCCATCTGTCATAGAGAGGCTCCACCAAGCAACTGATGGAAACAGACACAGAGACCCACAGCCAAACATTATGAGATTCTCAGAGAATCCTGTGGAAGAGGAGGAGAAAGGGTTGTAGGATTCAGTGGTGTCAAGGGCACCACAAGAAAACCCACACAACCAAGAAACCTGGACTCATAGTTGTTAACAGAGGTTTCTGTCCTGCCTGGTCCCTCTGATGTTCAGTCTCAAAGAAGTTCACAGAGGTTTACATTAGCTCAGGCTTCTTATTAACTTTTACATCCTACATTAACCCACAATTCTTGTCTGCGTCAGCCGTGTGGTTTGGTACCTTTTGTCAGTGAGGCATTCTCATCTTGCTTCCTCTGCATCTGGATGATGACTGCCATCTGAGCCTTTGCTCTCCCCAGAATTCTCCTGTTCTGGTTGCCTTATCTATACTTCCTGCCTGGTTGCCCCACCTATACTTCCTGCCTGGCTACTAGCCAATCGTCGTTTTATTAAAGCAATACAAATGACAAATCTTTACAGAGTAGAAAACCATTGTCCACACAGCACATAGGGGCTCAAGAAGACTGAACTGACAAGCAGGGAGCCTGCCTGGGCCTGACCTAGGCCCTCTGCATATATGTTACAATTGTATATCTTGGTCTTCTTGTAGGACTCCGAGCAGTGAGAGCAGGAGATGTCTCTGACTCTGTTGCCTGATTTTGGGACCCATTCCTCATTCCAGATTGCCTCATCCAACCTTGGTGGAGGAGGGGTGCCTGGTCTCACTGCAGCTTGATATACCATGACTGACTGATATCTATGAAATACCCACCTGCATCTGAAGAGAAACAGTGGAGGAGGACTGAAGAGAGGAGGGGAGACTGGACAGAGAGGAAGACGAAGAAGCTTTGCTTAGAATGTAAAAACAATAAAACAAAAAAAAAATCATTCCATGGTTGAAAAGAAAAACTCAAAAAAAGAAAGAAAGACAAAGTCATTAATCAGATAGAGTGGTACCAGTTCCTGTTCTTTTGGTCTCCCTGGCTAGCTCTAATATCAGCACCAGTTGGGCCTTTAATTCTCATTTTGATTGAATTACTGTTGGAGTTCTAATTCTTAAACTATACAGCCAATTGTGTATCAGTTTGGTAAAATTAAATGGTCCTTAGGACCTCTTTAGAAATGGGTAAGTCCACAATTTGACTTACTCACTAAGACCAGTGGGAAATATAACAAAGTCACAGACCTAAATAGGTCCTGAAACCTTAGCACAGCTGACTCCAAGACAGAAGCACCATGCAGAGTATAAAACAAAGACCTAATGAATCCTTCAGAGTCCATAGTTCTGGAAAAGTCTTTAAACATACCTACTCCGTTTCTTGTTAAGTAAGTGTGTCAACCCAGAACATATTTTTTTGTTTGGTTTGTTTTTTTTAAGTTTTTTTTTGTTGTTGTTGTTATTGTTTTGTTTCTTTGTTTTTGTTTTTTAGAGGGTATATTGTTTTTTCTTCTTTTTTTCTTTTTGTTTCAAGATAGGGTTTCTCTGTGTTGCTTTGGAGCCTGGGAGCCTGTCCTAGAGCTCACTCTGTAGACCAGGTTGGCCTTGAACCCACCTGCCTCTGCCTCCTCAGTGCTGAAATTAAAAACCTGCACCACCACTGCCTAGTCCCAGAAAATGATTTTTGTGCTTAAACATTCACCCTGAGAAAGGCTCAGTTCTGTATTGGATCATGAAAAATGGCTAATACTTTTTATTGGCTTAAGTCCATGTCTGAGCAGTCTTCTTTGGTGAATACCCTAAAAGTTAGGCCACAAACAATTATTAACAAACTTGAGAAGACTGAAACTTACATACCCAGTACTTTTCTAAGCCCAATGGAATAAAACTAGAAATACACAAGCGATGGAAAAATCAGAAGCTTTCCACAAATTTTTAGAAATTAGAAAACAAACTCTAGTGCCCATTGGTTCAAGTTAGAATTGAAAAGGGAAGTTAAAAGAATACTTTAAAACAAATGAAAATTAAGTAGAACATACTAAAAGTTTGAAATGCAACCAAAGTAGGAATAACTGAGGACATCATAGCAGTAAATATATTATGTGCACAGAAGTATCTCCAACAGCAACCCAACACCACCAGAAGAAGAGAGACTAAAAAGCACAAACTAAAGCACAGTCACACTTTTATTGAGAAGTCACTTTGATTCCAAGGCACAGAGACTGTACTTAACAAGCAAGTGGAATAGACTCAGTAGATGGATTGGTGTCCCATGCTGCTAAAACCAAGAATATCTGATTATTTTTAAAATGTTCTTCTCTATTTATAAATCTCCAGGCAGGATTAAGCTTCTACCATGATCTCTCATTGACAACAGCAATATGAGTCTAGATTATTCACTGTACTCTGTTCAGAAACAAATTCTTATTACAAAAAAATGAAGTTTTCTAAGATTTATGTTTGCCAAGTTAACATTGTAGTTTTCATTTTTCATTTGTTTGTTTCCAGATCTTCATAACCATGAGACAACAGGAAGTTGGAGGTAAAAGATAGAAAGCTCACTGTGAAGTTGTTGGTGTCATACCACACCAGCTCTCATGACATTCTCTAGTGGAAACGTGAAAGAATTGACATGGGCTAAAAACTGAATTATTTACTAAAAGCCATTTTCTAAGGGCAAAAGCCAGTCTTACTGTTCAATTTATTAATGGTCCATCCTAACTCATTTCAGTATTTCTTGGCAATGAGGGATTTATACTCAAGTTTCCTATCTCTAAAAGTGACATCATGAAAACAATGATAAGATTGAGCTATAAACCATAGCCCTCCGGCCTCCAAAGTGAACATCTGCCATGCCAGTTGACCTGAAGTTCCACATTCAATCTACAGACGCATAAATATCCTGCAGAATGTCTGAGACGAAACATTATTTCCCTGTGCTCATTGGTCCACAGAATGTGAACATTTATTTCATTCCACAGAAGGAAAATACTGGAAGGAAGACTATAATTTCGTCCCACAACTCTTGCTGTGTTTAAATCCCACTGGGTTTGCTTCAGAATCGTTATGAGATCCTGATATCACTTCCTACTGTCCTTCTACGGTATTCTTTGCTACAGCAGGGGAAGAGGACTCTATTTTCTCACCACATCCACTGAAACTAGGCTATAACCATGCCCTTCATCCCTTTGTCCACAGTGCCTAGAACTAGTGACCCCATTTTGGTGTAGGTTTGCTGGAAATCCTTTACTTACAGATTATAGGATTGCTTACTTGTGTTTCTCTGTTAGAATTCCAGAGACAAGCCACTGTCTCCCAGCGTCAACAAAAGCATTCTCATGATTAAAACCCAACGTGGTTTTTAATTATGAAAACGCATCCCCCATATATCAGTTTTGTAACCTATGAGGTCAGAGAGAAGGGGAGACAGAAAGAAAGAAAGAAAGAAAGAAAGAAAGAAAGAAAGAAAGAAAGAAAGAAAGAAAGAAAGAAAGAAAGAAAGAAAGAAAGAAAGACCGAGAGATACAGGAGGAGGAAGAGAGGAGGAGAGGAAAGAGGGAAGAGAGAAAACCTAAGAAGTTGCTGCTGGAATGGAAGAGAGTGAGGCTGGAAACCTCATTTTCAGACCTAGCTGTTAGCACTGCCTAATCCTGACTGGGCCAGCCCTGGAGGGAGGTATGTGGGCTGGCTGTAGAATTAATTGAATTTCACAACTTGCCTCACATTCCTGCTGGCACAAAGTGCCTTGGAAGGACAGCGGCATCACAGGAGGCCAACACAATGGCGGGACCAAGACTGGGCACTGCTGTGAGCTTTTCTTTATACAACTCCTGCCTCAAAATAGCTTGCCTGTTAGCACCCCAGCAGAGAACCCCCACAAGCAAGGGAGGAGGAAATGAGCTGTCTCTAAGATACATACTGGTTCTCAACCCCAGGATGAAGCTCAGGACCCGAAATAAGTTCCCTTCATAGCGCTCTAGAGCCTTCACCTTCAAAAGGGATATTTGGGTTATATGAATTTTAAATCCTTCCCAGCTGCAACATTGTATTATTGCCCGAAGAACATGAGATTAAACCAAAGGCTTTTTGTTTTAAAACAGCAGCATCTCGGCTTCATCAACGTACACATTTCACGATACTTAGAGCCCTAGTTTTCTGCCTCAGATCTTTGTGTAATTTTAATCAATCCATCTCTCTCTCTCTCTCTCTCTCTCTCTCTCTCTCTCTCTCTCTCTCTCTGTGTGTGTGTGTGTATGTCTGTGTGTGTTTGTGCATTTCTCTGTGTGTGTATGTATGTGTGTCTGTGTGTGTTTGTGAATGTCTCTGTGTGTGTCTGTGTGTTTGTGTCTGTGTGTGTGTGTGTTTCTGTGTGTGTTTGTGTGTCTCTGTGTGTATTATGTATATATGGGAGTATACGCTTGTCACAGCACATATGTAGAGATAAGAGGACAAATCTCAGAGGGAGCCAAAGCTGTTCTGCCACCTGTGGAATGCAGAGACACCTGGGATGTTAGGCCTGTGCACAGCACCTCTGATGCTAAATGACTTCCCCCATCCCTGACTTGCCTTTTGCTCAGCTCTTAATGAATAGCAGAGCACACTGCACTATCACCTAATAGGCCTTAAATAGGTTGTCACATGCAATCCAACACACTGCAAAGGATGAATCTGTCTCATCACACTAATGAGAAAAGAGCAGCCTAAAAGATGACGGAAACTTAACTAATGCCAAGGAATATGTAAAGACAAAAAAACAGAATTTAAATTTAAACTACACAACTACAAATTCAGGGTTGTTTCCATATAACTACTCTCACACAAAAACTAAATTACTTCTGTGATC